GGGAAGGAGCGGCTCCCCCGCGCCTTGAGTGAGGGGCGCTCGCCTTCCCTCTTCCCTCCCTTCACGCCACCGCCGCCGCCGCTTTCCCACCCTCTCCGCCCGGGCTCGTCTTTCCTCGCCTCACAGGGGAGACTCACCGACGCTCCGGTAGCCCAGGATCGCGATCTTACGGGACTTGGACGGCGGCATCTTGTCCCCGCTGGGCCCCGAACCACATCAAGGGCTCCGGCCGAGGGACGCAGCGAAGGGGCGGGAAAAAAAATTAAAAAAAGAAAAGAGGGAAAGGCAGGCGACGCTCGGCGAGGAGCCTCTCCTGACAGGCGGACACGGACGTGACAGACCGGCGGCGGCGTCTTGGCCTGGCCTGGCCTGGCGTAGCTGAGCTTGGCCTGCCTTGAGGCAAGGTTGGCTTTGGGACAGGTGGAGGCTGAGGCGGCTCAGGCGGCGGCGGCGGCGAGGAGAGGGGTCGGCATGAGGCGGGCGGCGCGGACTGAGGGGACGAGGAGGCAACGAGAGCCGCTCCGTTCACGTGACGAGGACAACCACCCTCCCTCCTCTCGGCTGGAGCGCTCCCTCCCTCCTTCCCTCATTCACTCGCCCACGTTCGGTTGCGTGATTGCGTCACGGGGCGTTTTTTTATTATTATTTTAGGCTTCCTTTTTTTTTCCTCCGGCCCAGCGAAGGCGCGACCGGCCCTCAGCCCAGCCGGGGAAATTTCGCTGCGTCATTCCCCCTCGGAAGGGGGTCCCGCCCTCCCCTCGACGTCACGAGAGCGCGAGCGCTGGTTGGACGCTTCCGTGACATTAAAAAAAAAAAAAGGGCAAACCAACTCAGCAAACCCGCGGCCCTTGAGGGTTCCAGAGAGCCTTCGGCTGGCCGTTGTCGGTTGTTATTGGTTGAATCCAAGGGCGAAGGGGGCGGAGTTCCGCGCATTGCTTCCTTGTGATTGGTGGAAACGCGTTTGACAGTTTTGCGCGGGGAAGGAGCGGTGTGGAAGTGCGCAAAAGCGTTTTTCTTGAGTCTCGTGGCGAGGGGTTTTCGGTGGCCGTGTTTACCTTTAGGAGTGGACGCAAGTCTTCAAGCAGGGTTGGCCCATGTGACAAAAGGGACATTGCATTTTGTGCGCTTGCAGGCGGAGCGCGTTTTAAACATTTAGGGATGCATGCTTCTGTGTGGTGACGGCAAACCAACAGAAAAGCATTACTTTGGTGTGAGTCATCAGGACGGTGTCAGAACAGAAAAAACGTGTGAAAAGCCTTACAAAGAGCTGTTAGAATATTGAGAATTTTACAGGCCTGAACAGGTCAAGACAATAGTGATAATAAACTACCATAATGATCACGGGTGTAGACTCAGAAGTGCTGAGTCACAGTGATTTGGAAGAGGTGTGTCTAAAGATGATGCAACACCTGTCTTGATTGGGCAGAAGTGTGTATATAAGTGTACTGTGTGTATATGATGTATCTTCGTCTATTCTCTGTTCTGCTATCCTCTATACACTACTTTGCCTCTATATTGTTGCCACGCCGAAGGACTGCTGCTCTGTACATTTGTACATTTTGTAAAGACACGTGTCTTGAAGAAGAGTGTGTGTGTGTTATTTCCTTCATCAGGACTCTGCTAATTACCAGCAAGAAGCTGACAAGAGCTGTCTTGCAAACTACTTGTGAACCTCTTGCCCCCGGTGCTGCGCTCACATGCATATCTCGTTCGCAAGGAGTAAGACTTCAAAAGAAACAAGTCTGAGCCCCGAGTAAGATCTAGCAGTTGTCACCCCTGTTCTTCTCTGCTCAGCCATGGAAATTGTGTGAGCAGGACTGGTAAAACCACTCCTTAAATATCTCACCTACCTTGAAAGCTCTTTTAAGGTCATTATAAGGCCCTTCCGAATAGGAACAATATAGAGTAATAAATGATAGGACATTTTGGAGGCCATAGGGTCATCTTACACTGGAAATCAGATTAGGCAACTATATGTGTACCAACAGATCCTGAAGCTGAGGCTCCAATACTTTGGCCATCTCATGAGAAAACTCCCTGGAAAAGACTGATGTTGGGAAAGTGTGAAGGCAAGAGAAGAGACAACAGAGGGCGAGATGGTTGGATAGTGTCATCGAAGCGACCAACATGAATTTGACCCAACTCAGGGAGGCCGTGGAAGACAGGAGGGCCTGGCGTGCTCTGGTCTATGGGGTCACGAAGAATAGGACATGACTTAACGACTAAACAATGTGTACCAAAGCTGGCACTTCAGTGTGTGTGTGTGCGCGGTATGGGCTCGATGTGCTCACATCCCCATCTTCCTCATGCCACTTCTTTTCCTCGTGCTCTCAAACAAGCAGATGGGTCACATCCCCATCTTCCTCATGCCACTTCTCGTGCTCTCAAACAAGCAGATGGATAGTTGAAAATAGCATAAAGCAGTCGTCACCTCTGTTGCTTCACATGTCTTGCTCTCTCTAGACAGCATTGGCAGTCAGGATTAGACCCGTTTCACATAGTGAAGCAGATTGTATTGCTTTATTTAAAAGACTGAATCTGAATCACCTCAAGAGTTCTAATGCTTAATATTTTATGCATGCGTTGAGATCGACACTGTCCTTTTTGAGTGCAGAGAAGCAGATAACACCTATGTCAGTGTACTGTGCGCCCCTCAAGATATGGAAAAACTGATGTTAGCTGCCCTAAGTGCTTTTGATGCTGCCGGTTATTGGGTGAAAATTATTTATTGATTGTACTATAGTGCTTTTGACATACAGAAAAAGAAAAATGCAGCTGGTGGCTTTTGATGTTGATGAATAAATGGGTCGCAATTCCAGAGAAAAACCTTATTGTGGAAGCAATTGGTTAAAGGCATATGCTGAAGAGAACACTGAAATAATTTAACATTGACCATTCCAATCTGAAAGTTCTGAATCAAAAGAAGCGCCTGATGAAATGCTGTCAATGGCCAAAGTATTCAAAATAAAAACAAACAAATGTGCATTAAAAAAGAGAAGTGAGAAAGCAAGGATGTAACTTTTGGACATTCCAACAAGCCCAGGATCGGCTAACTTCTGTCACTGTTTCCGTATCTTCCAGGCTAGTTAGTTCCTGTGTGTCCCTCAACATGCTACTACTCAGTCTTCAGTACTCACCTTTCCTTTCTCCCCTCCTGCCCGCCCAAGTAGTGAACCTGATAAGAGATGTTCATCTTTGAAAATTAAGGATGAAATGTTTTAATCTGCCCAAGACCATACGCAACTGAGGAAGATGCTTTTCAATTTTTCATGCTTCTACATGTCTCCTTGTTTAATTTCTGAAAAGGAAAAAGAGCCCTTTCTCTGGAATTTTTTTCAATTTTTCATGCTTCTACATGTCTTCTTGTTTAATTTCTGAAAAAGAAAAAGAGCCCTTTCTCTGGAATTTGAGAGGAAAGACAAGTTTCATCATATAAACAATAGTTTGTGAAAGAAATATGTGTTTGTGAGGGTTCGATGTTAGGCTCTACAACAACTCCAAATAAATCAGCAGACTTCCTCAGGGTAACATTTATTGGATTATTTAACAATAGTCCCATATCAACAAACATGTCCAACTCTTCTCCCAATCAGACAACAGGTCCTTCGGGGGCTTCCATTCTTCAAACTTGAAGGGGCTTCCTTCATGAACGCTCCAAGGTATAGCCACTCAGGTGGGGTATCAGGGTTCAGTAATAGTTCCTTCTCCCCCTCCAGTAAGGGAATGTTGTCCTCGTCTCAAAATTCCACCCAGTCACCATCCCGGGTGGGATCCCCCGTCTGCCAGGGTCTCCCCCGGGTTCCATCCTCTGCATCTCCCGCATCCTCCATCCTCTCCTATTCTCTCGCTCGCAATCTTATCCTTTTCCACATCTCCCGCATCCTCCATCCTATCCTCTCTATTCTCTCGCTCTCAATCTTCTCCTTTTCCGCCCTTAGTTTCTTACACCACTCGCATCTCTCCCCCCAATAAGAGGGTCTGGGGGTCAGTTCTCTTCTCCTTCACACATCTGCTTCCTCTTTGGGGACTCTCAACTTCTCCCTTTCCAGTCCAAGGGTCTTCAACCCAGATCCACTCCCATCCTCCATCCTATCCTCTCTATTCTCTCGCTCTCAATCTTCTCCTTTTCCGCCCTTAGTTTCTTACACCACTCGCATCTCTCCCCCCAATAAGAGGGTCTGGGGGTCAGTTCTCTTCTCCTTCACACATCTGCTTCCTCTTTGGGGACTCTCAACTTCTCCCTTTCCAGTCCAAGGGTCTTCAACCCAGATCCACTCCCAGTCTGGTGGGAGTCCTTCTTTTATATCCACCAACCCCGCCTCCACCACTTTCTGTACTTTCCGTTCCCTTCCCGCCACACCAGTCCTGGGCTGTTCAATGGTTAAGTCCTTCAAACTCCTCTATCCTCCCAGGGTCTGGTTCCGGTTCTTTCATCTTCCTAGACGGGGGAATAGGTGAGGTCTGACTGTCCTTATTGACCAAAGGAGGGAGGGATGGCGCTCCCGTGAGAGGCACCTTGCTCTCACCTTCAGTCTTACAATGTTCCATGGGCAATTTCCTTTCAGAAGGATTTAATCTGAGTCTCCATACTGAAGGTGTATGCCAGAACTTTCCTGTTGAATGCACTTGGAGGGTTATGGAATGGAATGTTAAGTGAATAATGCTTTCTTGGCACGAAACTCCTTGGTATTGTTATTATCTATTAGGATGGCTGAAATTACTTTCACACCACGGGTTTCATTAAATCTTTCTCAAACACTAGCTTGATAATGTTGTTTTTGGCATATTCATATGCAACATATGTTTTTCATACAACTTTGTGGATATATGAAATGTTCCAGTTACATCCAGCAGCTGTGTATTTCATAAACCCCACGTTGCCCATCCATACAGATGTCAGGAGGAGCTAGCAAATAATGAATGGCATAAGGCGATACAGCACCAAACCCATCCACTTCATGAACATCAAGCCCCTAGACCAGAGGTCTCAAACATGTGGCCTGGGGGCCATTTTCAGCCCACCAGATGATAGTTTGTGGCCCCCGCCTTGCCTGCCCCCCGAAGCGCCCACGTGTCCTCTGCTGTCAAGAGTAAAAAAAAAAGCCTTGCCTCGTTCGCCGGCTCTCTCCCAAGACAGTGCCTCTGTTTGTGTGCATGCTTGCGCACACAACTGTGGGGCCCCCTGCCCCATTGTGTTTAATTTTGCAGGTACCAATGGGGGCTTTTCTTCTCTGGCAAAGCGATTCTGTGAGGGTTTTTTAAAATTTTATGTCGTGCCTTACCCCACCCTGCCTGTGGCTAGGCGGTTGTTCGCGCTCCCTCCCTTCTCCGCTTCTGCGTCCTGCTGCTGCTGTTGGTGGAGCCCCAGCTGGGCTAAGGAAACTCCTGGGTAGCTTCTTCGGGCTCTTGCTCTGCTTGATGGAAAATCTGATGCAGCCCAGCTTCACCCAGACTCTGCCTCAAGCGGCCCCCAGGTAAATTGAGTTTGAGACCCCTGCCCTAGACGATAGCTAAAATCAAGGAAAAGTTTTCTGCACACATCTCAGGGTCTATATATTAAAGCAGAAGAGGTTAAGCTAAACCTACGGAGAACAAAAATAACACACCTTGCAAAATGCATGAATGCTAGAGTATCTCCCACCAGGGCAAGACTCTAGTTCAGCGACAGCGAACCTATGGTACACGTGCAAGCCCTCTCTGTGGGCACATGAGCCGTAAGTTGCCGGATTGCTACGCCCACCCCCGCAGCCAAACCTGAGAAGGCGGCTGCAGCTGTGGTGCTGGCGCCCTGACAGGCGGCAGGATCCGGAACAAGTGGCGCTGGCATTGGATGTGGAGTGGCGGCAGGATCCGGAACAAGTGGCGCTGGCATCGGATGTGGAGTGACCTCTGTGCCTGGGATTCCCCCTTCTGTCGCCATTTCCGGTTCTGCTGCTGCCCGCTGGATCCCCCACCCCAATTTGGGCACTTGTGCTCAAAAAAATTCACCGTCACTACTCTAGTTGAACATTCTGGAATACACTAAATAGACTTTGAAGTGAAATAGGAAGAGCCAAGAATAATTATGTAAAATGGGGCTACTTGGAAACCTGTGCCTGGGATTCCCCCTTCTGTCGCCATTTCCGGTTCTGCTGCTGCCCGCTGGATCCCCCACCCCAATTTGGGCACTTGTGCTCAAAAAAATTCACCGTCACTACTCTAGTTGAACATTCTGGAATACACTAAATAGACTTTGAAGTGAAATAGGAAGAGCCAAGAATAATTATGTAAAATGGGGCTACTTGGAAACAACAGATTTGAATAATTAAGTAAAATGGGGCTACTTGGAAACAGAACAGATTTTCTGTGACTGGAGAAATTCAATTAATGCAGCACTCGTGCAAACAATTTATGACCCCCCCCAAAATACAAAAAGATTTAGTAAATGGCCAAGATAACACTGCCAAAGTAGCCTGCTTCTGATCACAAACAATCTAATTATCTTAACATTTGAATTTGTTTTTTTAATTTTACCTCTATTTCATACAAGTCCATTAATTTTAAATTGTGCAACCTTCTGACACAAATAAAGATCCCTGAATAGTGGACCATAATTTTAAATTGTGCAACATTCTGACGCAAATAAAGATCCCTGAATTGTGGGCCTGTTGTGTACCATCAGTTCAAAGAAAAACAGTGCACACGTCTAATAATGAAAGAACATCTTGTATAACAATCAATGTTTTATTAATGAATATGGTGAAGTTTTTAGCTATCCACCAAAGATGTGTAAAAAATTGCAGGAAATAAAAATAAATAAAGCTGCTTTTCGATCAGTCTTGCTTTACCATCTCTGTTCAGAATGCAACATTTATAAACACACAAAAATTGTCATTAAAGTTTTAAAAGTAATCTACTGATATTCAAATTACAGCTTTTATGACAAATCTAATGATAACTGAAACTGATTTGGTTTTCGGTTTAACGGCTTGACTATTCAAATACAGTGTCTTGTTTTGCACAATACTTCCTCTTATTGTGATGGGCAACAGTGATGACATATTGTTGGCTTTTTGACATAAGGCACTATGATATGAATATGCCATACACTTGCCTTATGTCAGAGATCTGTTGCTGACCAGTGACTTCTGTCAAATACATAAACATGGTATTTTTTTTTTCAAGATACAGTGCATTTTAGATGGACGTCACGTGAAGTCTTTCGGCAAACATTTTGAAATGCAAGCCTATATTGAATACATAAGCTTTTTGTCATGCTGCTTCTGTGCGACAGTCACTGGGAAATAATCGACTAGCTACCCATCACTCAGTCCAATACACACACATTCCCATCCCCATTCTGCTCTTCTCTATTGCCATCAGCGTTCTTGAGGCAAAGATGACCCAGTAACTTGATTCAAGTTCTACAAACGTGTATGCTCACAGGAATCATTCAGTTTCACTTTCCTTTTGTATGGCACCTGTGAAAAGCAAAGAAATAAAAAGGCATTTCTGCACAGGAACTGAAATTCACTTGTATGTGACCCACTTTTCTTATGTCTTTCCTTGTGGACTATTTGACTAACACTTGGAGCAAATGTTGCACACCTGGCAAAATTCCCACTGTGATTGCTACATAGTATGCGAGTAGGAAATTGTGCGGGATTGCAAATCCTCTCTTTTCTACCAGAAAAGCTAATGGTGAGCAATAGAGGGAGCCACTCTTACTACATAGAGTTGATTTGTACATGGATATATTAATTACATTTATGTCCTGTGTTTCCTTATGCTGATGTATGCAACTGTTCCCACTACTTTCTCACAACTACCATGCGTTGCATGTCAGACAGAGAATGACTAGCCTAAGATGGCCACAACCTATGTTGTGTGGCTCAGTGTAAGACTCCACAGTGTAAGACCAGAATCTTCGTCTTCCAAGTCTGGGTCCAACACTTTGACCATCAGACTCATACCGACGCAATAGAACAAGAATTTCTTGCATATCTGTGATGCAGTTACTTACGGCCAATACTATTACTTAATGAGTTGTATACTGCAGTGTTTCATGTCATTACATTCAGTAACAGGAGGGCCTAACACAGCCATACATTCCCAAAGCCATGCAACATAACTGCACAAGTTCAGGTGGCTTCCAAGGATATCAAGATGGGATCAAGCAAACTGTGGCCTGCCCCTGTTTAAAAAGTCTGTCAGTCATGCAAATCTGCACTGGTGCATCTGTCTGTTTGACTAGTGGACCTTTTACACATTAGGCCTCCTTGTATATATTATTGGAATGGACTACACCAACAAATCCAAAATCTGCTGCATTTGCTAAAATTCAGTAGTATGTCACAACCAAAGTAGGCCCATTGAATAAATGGGAATTTGGTGAGTCAATATGTATGCAAGCTCCACTAATTCAGCAGGTCTACTCTAGTTGTGACAATTGAATTCTAGCCCACTGGGCTTTAGGTAATGCACCACAGTGATGCAGCTGACAACAATTTAGATTTTGAACATGACAAGAGATCACCTTGCTTTGCCATGAAGTTCACTGAACAGGATTTGCACAAATCAATATGAGCCTCATCTACCTTTTAAGAGGAGTTGTGAAGATTAAAGGAATGTAAAATGCTTCATATGCCACTACGGGAAAGCATAAGCAGCATCCATACCTGTAGGTGTGAGCACTAGTGCTTGTAGGATGTCTGAGAGGGAGATGATACCAACAATACTACCTGCTTCATTCACCACCACCAACCGATGGACCTGCAAACGGGGAACAAATAAACACAAATTTGACAGAAATTCCAAATAAGCAAAAAACACCAAAGAAAAAACAAATCCCACATTCAATTTATTAAGAGGCAACAAATTTAAACTATTCAGTAAGATGTTAAGTCCTGCAAGTTAAGTAATGCCAACTTCATTAGGGGAAGTCAAATTGAGACAGAATTTATTGTGACATAGAAAGAGGAAAAAATGAACTGGTTCTGTTTTCCAGTGATGGTAGGAGAAGCTTAGATCAAGTCACTGAGTTTTATGCCAACACATCACTGAAAAAGAGTTACAATTCCTGTTCCCTCACTGACATTATGCATTCACATACACTTTTTTCTGTAGTTCTGTACGTATGTGTGAATACCTAATTGTTCTATAGCTAGAACAGGTACATGTTGCACTTCATTTCTCAAAGGTATGAAAGAGTAATTGTTGAAATGCTAACAAGGTATTATTTAACATCAAAGATCTGTTCATACGTAAATGTGGAGGGATTTGAGAACACAGATGACATTTTGTTCATTGTCTTGTCAGAGCAGAATGCAAGTTCAAGAGAAATGATTCCTGATCATTATAAGCACATTCAAGTGGGTGGTTCTTAAAAACAGATGCTGTCTGTAACCCAAACACTGCAACATAAACTAACAAAGAACAAACTCAAGCCAATATGTCTATTTTTATTACAGAAGTGAAGTGTAATATTAGTCATTTCATTCATAGTTAAAGCATATTTAAAATTAGAATGACCAAATTGCAATTACATCTTGATGTTGATTCTTTACAATTCTCTCCAGTACAGAGAACTATTTTAGGTGTCTCTCATGGCTTGTGCTCATCCAACAGGATCTCGGCACTATAGACTCTTCATTTATGAAATACTGTCTTTGGAACAACCGCTTTGGAGAGCAGCTTGCTGGGTGGCAAAAACAGCCAGCCTTTGGGGAAAAGAAGCAACTAGATGAGCCATACAATCTGGGGATTGGTGTGTGCATGTATGTGCGCGCGCATGCTAGCATGCCTGCCTCTAGCTGACTGAAGAGGGGTGCAGGCAGTTATGCAAGTTTTTAATGTAGGAGCACAATCCCAACTATGCGACAAGCAGGCCATTACATTCTTCCCACTCATGTCCAGCAGTGTCCAAACTTGAACAAAAAGGATTAACCATGTTTGGGTGATCAAATCTCAGTTTAATAAAAAATATGAACAAGCCTCTTGAACCCGCATGCAGTCGTTTCCCTTCTTCCTTTGCGCAAGTCTGAAACAAGTCAAGAAGCTGCAGTTAACTACAGCTTCCCACTGCATATAAACTGGGAAACTATGGTTAATGGTTTCCAGATACTGTACTTAAGCTGTGCAAGTCAACAACCCATGGGCTCATATCCTGACTTGTTTGGAAGTCATTAACCAGTTTTCCAGAAAGTGAGTTTCTTTCAGGGCTGTAAACAATAACATCTTCAGGAAGTCATTGATTCTTAGAGGTGCCATAAGTCTGAAGCAACTTGATGGTGTAAAATAACAATTACATTGCTGGATCATCTTTTCAAAGATGGCCTCAGCCATCCTAAACTCTCGATATTTTGTGATTTCTCTCTCTCTCTCTCAACTCTTCCAATCCATAAGCACTTAGGAAATAGTCTGATGTGAATGAAAGGAGTACTTATGGCATACAGGAAGAGAAAGAGAGAGGCTTTTGTCAAATAGACAGGCACAGCAAGGTTTCAAGTCACGGTACTTCAACAATCCAGGACAGGCGAACTACATACCGGCCAGGTAACTTAGAGCTCCTCTTCTCTTGTTTTTGAACAGTCATACCCACCTGATACAATGGGGAACACAGGAAAGAAATAGAAAATGGGGGAAATTCTATTTTTATATGTTTCTCTTATGTTGGTGATATTTTAAACAGGGGCAGTATGTTGGATATGACTTAAGTATGGATTACCACATATATTTAATCAATTGGCCATCTTTCTCAAGTTGAACAGCTTCACTGTTTTAAGGCTACTGAATAATAAAGCAACAATACCAACACTTGTTTGTCAAGAAAAATAAGTTGTTTGTACTTTAACGGTACAAATGCAACCTCTCTTTATCCTTCAGAGATTCTAATACCTACATGTGCTGTGAAAGAAGATTATATAGCCTCTTTCCAAAAACACATCACAAAATTAGTTCCTATAAGCAATCCATCTCTGTTAGAACTGAACAAAACAAAACAGAAAACATACTGAAGTCATTAAAAAAATTATCAGAGTGTAAGTTGTGAAAAGAACAATTATTATTGTTCTTTTTACAACTCTGGATCTATATCAGATCAGGAGATTATTTTAAGGCTATTAGTATAACTAATAATGAAGAATATAATTCAAAACGTTTTAGATAAAACTTTTTCAGATTTGGTTGGGTGTGGAGGGGCAAAGTGGCTGGCTGCTAAGTAAAGGTGTACAACATGTGTTTATAATGGGGATTATCAAAAAGGAAGGCTCTTCAGATATCACATTTACCTAATCTCAGTTTAAGGGAAAAGAGGTTGGTTTGCAAGCTATTATTGAACCTGTATTCTCGAAGGCTTTCACGGCCGGTATCCGATGGTTGTTGTGGGTTTTTCGGGCTCTTTGGCCATGTCTCTGTGGCCGGCATCTTCAGAGGACTGTAGTAGTCCTCTGAGGATGCCGGCCACAGCGA